TCAGTCAAATCTAAAAGCAACGATACACAATTATCTAGCCTAAAAGTTTCCAATTCTCAATGTAAAAAAAAGGGCTGCCTATAAAGTTTGGTAACAGTTGGTAACAATTTAAGAGGAAGGGACACTGCATAAACAAGCACACAAAATGCAGAAATAAAAATGCACACGCACACAGAAAAGGACAAAATAAACCCACTTAGTCTGCATTGTAAAGAAAACCTTGAGCTGATTCTGCATTCAGAATTATGGTCTATCACATTAGACAAAGGTCAGCAGGTAAAAACATAATATTTAAAAAAAATTCCCTTAGAGGGATCCACAGATTCTTCTAACTAATCTGTCTAAAAGCTTTTGTGCAAGTGTCCTATGATAAAGATGAAATAGATGCTTAAGCAATCCTTCAAAGACAGATGATACTACAACTGTCTTTGATGCAGAAAGAAATAAAACCCAAAGATTACTAGCAAGTATAATACTAGATGTGAAAGAGTTAACATAGTAACTGCTATATGCAAACAAAAAAAAAATAGAAGTAGATATTAATCTGGCATAATACCTTTCAGCAAACAAAACCAAATTAAAAGTGATGGTGCATTCCACTCCTAAATTGGAACACCATCTATTTCACAGCAAACATTCCAGCTCTGTATTTTTTTTCTTCAATTTCTTCCTAACATATATTTGAAGAACACTAGTAATGAGTTGCTTTGCACAAAGGTACTTGACTGAAACCATGAGAGCAAAGGAAAAAATAACTTTTAATTTACAACAATATTTTGAAACACAAACTTAATTCTACTTTAGGTGAAATCCATGTAAATGTTTACTTAGATAACCACTAACTGACAATATTTAACATTTTTACTTTTTGTTTTATTTTCTGTATGAGGTTGCCTTATCTCCTCTTGCATAATAATGAAACAAAAAACCTTTTTAGGAATAACACTGTAAGTAGTATTTCATTCTAGCATTACAATATTCAATATGTAATACCATTGAAATTTCTTGTCACTATTAAAAATGTAGAGATCCAACAAATACTGGGTATAGCTGGGAATTTTGTTAAGCATCTGAATTTCTCTCAGCCCAACAAATATTTCTTTACTGTCTTCCCTGTTTCCCACCCCTGCAAAGACTTGTAGATATTCCAGATCAGAAAGGGGCTATTCTATAAGCTAATCTAATCAACATATAGGCCACAACATACAACATACAATCAACAAACATAATCAACATACAGGCCACAGAACCTCAATCGACAATTTCTACATCAAGTCCAATAACTAAAGTTCATGTTGTATGACATTTCTACTCTGCTTTATGTAACAGCTGAGATCTTAACACTGCTACCTGCTTATTTAAGTGCAGTGGTTTTAGGACACCGAATTCCCAACATGGAATCTTTCTACTTTAGTTAGCTCATTCAGGAAATCTTCAGTAAAGTCCTTTGGCAATGTCCTCTACCAAATTCAGGTATATTCATCAAAACTATTAAAACAACAACAAAAAATAAAGTCTCATCAATCTCCATGGACTTTTTTTTTTTCTTCCTTTTTTTTCTCCTCTCTGAGAAGCAAAGAAGTCCAACCTTCGGAAAGGATTTATCTTCATCATCTTTCTGCAGTCCTTGGTTTAGCCACAAATACAAACTGCTCTCCCCAGAGACGGATTGACCAGGCAACATTCCCTAAGTGCTCCCTTGCAGCCCAAGGACACCCAGAGCTCTCCTCCCTCATCCTCAGGGAAGAGTCTGGCTAGGGGCAACATCCCCAGCCTTCCTAGGAGCCACTGGCACAGCTCCTTTCCTGGCAGGAGAGGACAGAGCACTCTGACTCCAGGAGTGCACAGGTAGGAATCCTCTCTTCCCTCCAAAGACTCCACCAGCAGACAGGTTCTTCAGGTTAGTCTACACTCCATGCCAAATCCACTTCAAGTCTAATAATAAATGCACACTCTCAATCATAGTTGGGGTTATGCAATCAGGTTATATAATGGTAAAACAGGCTGTTTTTAGTAAGGGACTGAAAACTAAGATGTGATGTAAACACTTAAGAATAAATATCTGCAGGAGAACGTTGAAGTGCACAACTCGGCACTGCGCTTAACGGCACCACCTCCGCCAGGCTATTTCAACTGCTTCTAATCAACATCACCCTTAAATACTTCCTTATAATGCTGGGCAGAAAAGATGAGACAATACAGTAACTTTATGAATAAGCAACCTAACTGTGTTTTATACCAGGTACAAGAACATGAGATAGGCAGAAAATGGAATAATTGCTATTTAGTTAGAGTAATAGAGTAGCACTTAGAGGCTGGGATTTTCTAACAGAACAGTTTTTCATTAAAAATGCCAGTCCATTAAAGCTGAGATRTTTTATGAGAACATATTGGTTTTGGGAAGTTTCCAGGTAACACACGTTTTCTTCCTGGTTTCCTGGCAGTTCCCCTAACAAGCCACAACGGAGTCTGGGTCTTCATGGCCTACAGCTCGGAATACAACTTTCCCACGTGAGCTGTGAACTTACACACAGGCTTTCCCTACCTGCTTGGCCACAGCCTGACAACATGGTCCTGCCCCATCCAACCTGCAGGTGCCAATCGAAGGCATCTGCCTCACTCAGTCAGAATGAGCCCATTTAATCTTGGCCAAAGGGGCCTGAGGAGTGAGCATGACACCAGAACACTCGTGCTTGCGCATAAACCAAACTGCAATAGGTGAAAACCACCGTAAGCCAGAGACAGGAGACATCAGGAGATACCTGCTAAGTCCAGATATCCCCTGGACTTAGGGCATCTAGCTGTAGGAAGAAGCAGCAAATGCCCTGAGCTTCCTCAGAAGAACCAGATGTTTGAGTTTCAGAAGAAAGACTTTTTTTTTGTTTGGTTTTTTTTTTTTTTTGTTTTTTTTTGTTTTTGTTTTTGTTTTTGTTTGTTTCACAGGGATTTTCAGGTATCTATTTTTCCTCCAGCTTCTCACCATAAACCTCTGGAAAACGCTTTCCCAAGAAAATGGAAATTCTGCCTTTCAGACAGGTTCAAGTTAAGGCCATAATGAGGCATACACTTTAAATGTGTATACAAAGAATTATAAATGTCATTAAGATTTAAAGTAGGCAATGCATACAACATATTCCCATGTCCCTAGACAAATCTAGTCCAATTTTCCTCTTTTACACAGGCATAATGATTTTGAAACTAAAAATGATAGCTTTTCTTTATATCAGGAATGAGAAAAAAAATAAGAGTCAGGTCCTATAAGTTCAGATTCACGTGAAGTCTAACTCACTTTAAATCYAGACAAAGCCAAAAGTGGCAACACTTCAGGAAATGCCAACATATGCAAGCAACACTGCACCAACCTAGGCTGACAAACATGCACCTCGGGGGACGATTACAAGTGTATTTCTCCAAGGCAGAGAGAGTTTGGAAAGCAGAAAGGGAGGCTTAGGGGTCTGCCTTGAGGAAGTAAAGAATGTTATTGAGAAGGACACTGGAAGARAGAGAAGGCAGATGAAAACATGCCAAAGAAATGGTAAAAGATAAAAACAGAAAGCATCAGCTCAGGAAAAAAGAGAAAAATAAATAGCAAAATAAAAGGTTCAAAATATTTGTAATAAAATGAAAAAAAATACAGAAAAAAATGCCTTCCTCTGAATCCTCACATGAAAAATTTGTTAGGAAAATGAAAATTACTAAACTGCAAAATCTCCTAGTTTTAGCATAAGATCTGCAATAACTTGCTTTATTTATCAAATGTCATAAACATAAAGTYTACCTTCCATCCTGTGAAGCTCTGACATCTCCTAACAAAAGCACCATAGCCTCAAATTGCTTTCAGAATGTCAGCTGTTCTATCCCCTTAATATTTGCAAATAAGGCTGATTACAGTCAAGAATAAATTTCTTCTTATTGCTTCTACTTGGGTATGATTGAGGCTTTGCTTCTTTGAGGAATAAGACATGCCCTTAGTCTTCACGAGGGCAGCAAAAAGTGTAAGGGAATATCCAGGTATCCCAGTGACTGAGAGTGCAATTTGGCAGGTTTAGCAATCYTTTAAAAACCAGATAACTACTGGGGTAAGCCTGAGATTAAAAGCAGGTGAATATTTAACATAAAAAAGTATAGAGACTAAATTTAACACAAAAAAAAAAAAGTCAGGGAAAAATCTGAAGGAAAAAAGAAAGTATCAGGAAAAAAAAACGAGGCCAAAGCACATTGCAAAGAAAACTGGAAACACTGTCAGAGGGATAACTACCAATTGAATTAGTCTGAACCTATTGCAACAAACTATTGTAAAAGGTAAAGAAAAGATGATGGAGAAGTAAAGACAGTATCTTTCAAAGCCTGGTATTTCTTAATTTCCACACGTCTTCATTATTRAATTCCAACATTTCTCCTATCTGCTCCATTCCTACCATCAACCCACCATAAGTAAAATATTTCTAGAGAAAAAGATAAGAAAGCAAATTGAGGGGACATTAAGATAACTTATATATTTTATTCTGTTTTTTCTGTTCAGTTTTTTTCAAGACTTGATATAATTCAAAACATTAAGTTTAGATTTGCAAATAYGATTCAAAAATTGTTGTAAGAAACTATTCCTCTATATGATGCTTTAATAACATTAAAAATAACATCACCTTATGGTAGCAAGCATACAGTAAAATAAAGCTGGCTAAGTGAGGTATTAGTGAACCTTCTCTGCTTAAAGGCCAGTAACATTTTCCTTTTCTCATCCTGTTTCCACACCTTGAAAAAACCTTTATCAAATCTAGATGAATTTTCTGAAGTTTTCTGGCATTGCCTGTAGGTAACTACATCACAGAGAACAGATTTTCCCAGRGTTCCTTCACCAACCCTTTCCATCAGTTCCCAAACAGCTTACACATTTTAATGCAAATCAGTAAGAAATGAAGAAATCTCTGCATTTAGGGACACCAAAACCGAGTCACCAAACAGATAAATAACTTCTACTCTTTCCCAAAGTAAGAACTTACCCATTGGAGATGAGCCTTTCCTAATACAGCTCATGTGCACAATTAAAAAACTGAAAAATGAGGTTCTGATGGACAAAGTATCTTCTGGACAGAGGACTAAGAACAGCTTTGGGGTAAAAGTTAAATCTAGATGGCTCCTCCCTGTCACATGTTCAAAGAGGAGGCTGACTGTGAAAGCCAACACCTTCCACCTGAGAGAAATTGTGACCTAGGAGCCTAATGATGAAATAGGCTCCTCTCCTAAAAGCTGTTCTAACCAGGTGCTCTCTCTTAAGAACCAACAACACACCCTGCCACCTTTTTAGAAACTTGCAGCCGAGTGACAGAGCAGGTGGGAAGTAGGAAAGAAAAGCCTTCTTACTCTCTTCTGTGCAATCCCAGCATTTGCTGCTTAATCAGGCACCAGTTACACCTCATGTCTTCAGCATTTTACAAACAGGTTGTAATTGTAAAATTCAATTGTAATCTCTTAGTATACCACAAATGTATGCTGAGAAAGACATTGCTAGGGGGAATATGGAAAAGCCTAAGGCAGAGTTCAGTGATGGTGAAAAGGAAGCTTTCCAGGAACCGGATGGAGTTGAACCCACTTGCTGCAAACCAAGATGCCAGAGACGTGACTAAAACCAAGCCTGGGAGCAAGGTTCCCTCGGCTTCTGAACTTTTTATGGATTCAAATGTTGATGAAACTTTTGCCATGATGTATTGCTTTGATCAAAATACTGGAAGCCTGACACCTTTCAAAATTGCCTGTATTCAAATCAAAGTGGAAAAAAAAAAAAAAAACATACAAAAAATACAATACATCCATTTCTGTGGACTGGACAGCATTTCTGAAAGAATTCTTTGTATTTAAGTAAATTTTCTTTGAATTACATTAACTACAGACATAGAAAATAAAAAGATAAAACAGCAGGCTACATTATTACCCTGCTAACACTGTGGCAGTGGACAAGGAAACACTAGTTCCTTTCTATGAGGCACTCACTTTCTATAGTGTCCACATCTTGCTACATGACAAGCCCTTTCTTTAGTTTGTATATTCCAGGAATATGCTGGCAGACAAAATTTTGACAGCTGGGTAAAATAATCACTGAAAGCAGGAGTACTCCAAGGCTGCGATGATGCTGACACAACCATCTAGAAGCAGCTGATAATCAGCTCCAACAAACTCATGGAATAGTAACCATAACGTAAAAGAAAGAAGGGAAGAACAAATCAACCGAACAAAAATTCCCACTGAAGTCCCAGTCAAATCCTGAATACAAAAATAATGAAACAAACTTCCTGCTTATAAAACAGCAGCGGACTGTCAATTAAGCTTGGTAGTTCTGTATTCCATGTGGCAGAACTTTCTGCTGTAAAGGAGCCTCTACATTCCCAACTTGCTCATCTGCCTCATCCAAAGGGATCTGTATGTGTTTGTGTTACATCTTTTTAATCTTCATTTCAGAAAACATTGAAGGCATTTAATAATGTTACAAAACCAAAAAATAAGGAAAATATGACACCTAAGCTTAATAGAGACTAAATAACTTTATTTAGTCTCTTTGTAGTGAACTTCATGATGTCATCTTTAATAATACAATCAAAATTTATGTCTTACTCAAAGGAAAAAAAAATAATACAAAGGAGAGAATGAACCATTCATTTGCTATTTGTAAATTCTGAACTGCCTGATTTTCCAACTAATACAATTAATTTAACCTTAACCTTTAATTTAACAAAATTAAACATTATATATTCATCTAAACTTCCAGATAAATCATGTTTTAAAAGGTGCCAATATTCACCATATCAAACAGAATTGAATACTCTGGCAATGACAAGAATAGGTCATCAAATTCTTGAAGAGACTTTAACAGGCACAGTGAGAGGAGAGAATTTTTCTTTGATTGATGAAGATTTCAAACAACTACTGTTTTATTTTGATGCAGTTATATGTAATAGTATCACTGATATTCAAAGAAATCTTTTTTAATGTTTATTACATAAATGATTTAGTTAGCAGTAGCATCTTTCCATTTGGAGTGAAAAAAAGTACTTAACGTCAAAATATTATAACCATCTCATAGCTAATAGCAGAGATTTAGTATTAAAAAGAAGATCCAAGTCTCAGGGTAAATCTTCCTTTGAAAGCATTTATTGATCTTTCTTTCGCAGCAGCGTTCACCGTTTCTGTAAAGCAATACTTTTGAGAATGGTGATGTAAGCAATGAATAAGTCACAATGACAAGTGGGTAATAAATAATGACTGACAGATTTTCCCTAAGAACACAGCACTGGTCTCCAAAGGGTAAGGTTAATGCTAAAGGTGTCAAAGAGAGGTTAAAGAAAAAAAAAAGAGGTTTAAAAAAATTTACATTGACTGGAAATTTGTACAAGTCTAAAGAAAATTAAGAGGACTGGGAGGGAAAAGAAATTACTTAGCAAATCGAACTGCAGTAGAATGGAATATGAATACACGGACAGCAAAGACTAATACTAAGCCAAGCAATTATAAAGCAACAGCTATCTAGCTCTGTAAAATCACAAAAATCAAGCTCTGCAAAAATATTATGTATTTATACAAATAAACACACATTTTTTAACAATAAACATACATTTGCTGTGCTGGTACATGGCCTGGAGAACATGGAAGCTAAAGAAAGCCAAGAAGACAAAGCCAGGCTAGATAATTTACTGCATCTCTTTCGCAGGCAGACTGTGCAACATGTTGATGGCTGTCTGAAAGAGAATGGTATCACTGAACACAGTAATAAATTTTTATTTTATTTTTAATTTTTATTTCTTTTAATTTATTTTTCTTCTTATAGCTGATATTTACTGCTACTGGGAAAATCAGTGCTCTGCCTTTATATGCAAGATACGAAAGCACTCATCTCCACAGCTTTTTTTCTTTTCCTTTTTTTAATAAAGTAGGACTGCAAATTAAAATTAAGATGCCCTTACATGCATCAGCTTTCATAAAAGGGTATTTGAAAATGTTTCAGTGGTCATTCTTAAACAAGGTATTTGAAAACAGGTGTTCAATAGTCTGTAAACTAAAAATGTAGTCTAAATATATTTTCTTGATTAAATATTTCAGACAGAAATCACATAATACTAATAAAAAATCATACAACAATAAAACTAGATGAAAAGGAATGTGATATTTTGGAGGGAGGTAATAGTTGTAGTGTGGGTTAAAATTATCATTGACATGTTAATTAAAAAAAAAGAAATATATGCAGAATAAACAGAACCTTTCCTATAACTGTCTGCATTGGCTGCTCTGTCAGTGTTTTGCATGGGCTTGGTAAATTATGTAGGCTCTCAGTAGACAGAACAGCCATAACTCACTGTCTCCAATAATGTAATCTACATTTATCACTATTTTAATTAAGTTGAACCTTAATTTGCTAGTTTCATTGCAAGAAAATATACCTTATTCATTTTTTTCCAAATAGAAAGCATCTGTCCTAAAGGGTGCACTTCAAAATTAAGCCCTTCTCTTACTGCCAACCAAATTGCACTTTTAATAAAGGACCAATGTTTGTTTTCATCATTAAAATATTTTCCTTGAATCAAGATTTCATTTTATAAGCAAAAACTGAGTGACAGATTTGTCTAAGAAGAGTGAATATTGAATGTTCCAATGAAAAGGTTAAAATTATATTTAAAACGGGCATTTATTGTTTACAAATGAAACCCAGATCACATGTTTTCCCTAATATCTATTTTCTGCCTTTTCTTTATATGGTAAGTCTTCAAAGATGCTTTAAAAATTAGAATAATCCATGACACTCATGATAGGACTGTAAGGAAGAAAAAAAAAATACACTTGTCTTACCCAACCTCTTGCTCTCTAAAAAAAGGAAATAGAGAGAGTTCAACAGACTCATGTTGGTGTTATGAAGCTAGCTGTGCAAAGAAGCTCATTAACAACATGAAACCAACAAAAAAATCAATATTTAAGATTAGCAATAATTGTGCAATCAATGCAAGAATTAAACATGCTTCACAGTTAAATTTTAGTTAAGTTTAAAATGAAGTGACTTTGACCAAATTTAACCTTTTCTGGGGGTGCAATAATTGTTGCTTTCCTCAAAAAACAGAGATCGCTTTCTTAAATCCAGTATTCTTTCTATCTTAATGGGCACATTTGCTAGACTAGCCAGTGCATACTATGTAAGATAATACTCCTTGCAGCAACACTTCAGTATATGCGATTTTTGCCATGTGCTAGCAAAAAGTGAAGACTTCCTATGAATAAAGACAACAGATTATCCATAAACTAAGTAGGTAAAAATCAAAGGTTCTACACACCACTCAAAACACCTACAATCAGAAGGGTCCACTTTACTTCAGTGTTCATTTATTACCAGATCTCAACTACTGCCAAGAATGCTTTAGGATGCAGAACACTATTTATAATAACATTCTTTCTTGTTATGCAAAAAACACGGTCTTCAGAAGTAGATGGCTGGTGCATTTATCCACCTACTGTTCCAAAAGTACTAAGGGATGTGGGCAGTCATGTGTTTAACACAAATCATTAGAGATACAGGAATGTTTTGAATTGCCATCAATGGTTACATCATTAACGATAATTTACTGCAATGACTTATGATTTTCAATTCGTCGAAGTGCATTAAGAGTGTGTTCTACACTTACATTAACACTCCCCATCATAAAATAAAGCCATTTAACTTTTCACGGAGTGACTTTTATGATGCTGTTATAGAAGGAACTAATTGTAGTTAAAACATTTATTTTTCAAAGGTCATGCTTTCTTATTGTAGCTTCTAATATTTAAATGGCATTGTGTGTGTGTGCACGTGTGAGAGAGAAGGGGAGCAGGCACGTACCCATGTGCAGGTATGAGAACACAGGGAGTGCACGAGTTCAATACCAAAGCTCTCCAACAAGGACTGCACAAAATGCAGAATAAAAAGTGATTTGCATATTGAGCTATAATGAGGTAAAAAAAAAAAAGAAATCTAAATTGTAAATGAGCTTTAGAGACAAATCAATTCTAATGAACAACAATTACTTCAGTCGCTGTGTGAATTAGAACAACGTCATTAATAAAGCTTAGGTGTTCTGCTGGTGAGCTGGTCTGAAGTCCCTGGCAGATCATGCAAGACCTAGGTCAGGAGAAGCAGCAAYGGCAAAGGAAGTAAGTTGAAAATTATTTTATTTTGAGGCTCCACTTCAAACAGAAAATGCAGAA